GCTCATAGAACATTTTCTAGAATACACCACATGTTAGGGCACAAAACAAGTCTCAATAAATTTAAGAAAATTGAAATCATACCAAGCATCTTCTCTGACCATAATAGTATAAAACTAAAAATCAGTCACAAGAGAAAAACTGAAAAACACAAAGACATGAAGACTACATAACATGTCACTAAACAATGAATGGGTTAACAATTAGATCAAGGGAGAAATCAAAAAATTGTAAGAAAATATTATGAAGAACTATATAACAACAAATTGGACAACCTGGAGGAAATGTATAAATTTAATAACAGCTTTATCAGCAGTATTAGTTTAACATCCAAAACAATTTCAATGACAAGTTTTAGACCCAATCCACCAGCGTGGATGCAGAAAACAGGAGAAGGTAGAGGAACGGGATGAGTTCTCCATATAAAATACAGAGAGCATTATTAACAATCAACAGTAGTTTTCTTTAAAAAAAAAAAAAAAGCCCTCATATCCCAAGTATCATACCCAACTTCTTTTTGGCAAGATCTAACTCTAACTACAAATGCATATAAAAACACACACATTTCATAGCAATCACTTAGCCACTCAAACATAACTATAAGAATGTTTTTTTCTCAATGGAAATCAGATACAAATGTTGGAGAACTCAAGTTTCCACTCTGCCTGTGTATACCCATCAGGTACAACTCCTGTAAAACAGACTCAAGTCGTAGATCCCAAAACCCTTTGGTCATTAAAGATTCATTTGCAGTGAAAATAGTGAAGTAAGAAGGGGAAAACAAACATGCAAAAATGCAAATTAGTAGTTTAAAAAAAAAGTACTCAATTTTCTAAACATAATTTAACATTTCTAAACACACCCAGGCTAAATGTTTATGCAGAGGTGAAGAATGTATTAAAAACACACCGTGACACATTTTTTTTAATGAATTAATTTTCTTTGATAATGGCTACTGCCTGATACCTCCTTCATCAGACGGTCTTGTTACCTCACTGGAGCATGAAAAACTAGGGTAAATCTCAGACATTTCTGACTTGTCATCTCCAAGAACTGTGCCAAAAGTGCTGCTCGAATGAGATCGAGACCGCTGTCTCCTATAGTGACTTGCCTTTTCTGTATTAGAGGGAAAATATTCATACTTGTGATTAAGTGAATTGAAAAACAAAAGAAACAAAAAAGTACTTAAAAGTTTAACAAGAAATAAAAACAATCCCTTATTAAATAATCCAAAGCTCAATATTATAAATTCTAGTCACCTACTCCCTAACTTCAGCATACACTGTACCAACTATATTAATGACTTAATGACCATTTATACTCATTTTTAAATCCAGATTTTAAAAGAGATATGGGGGGGTGGGAAATTGACAAGAAATAAGAAAACATTAGCAGACTAATAAGTTTCTACCAAACATAATGACCGGTTACAAATAATTGTTTTCAAGTGTCACCAAGCACATAATATCTTTTGCCTTTTCTTTATTTTTAGAAATTTAAATTACTATTTGGCTGATTATGTGGATCAAATTGACTATTAAAGTATTAGAATCCCTATTTTGCCTTGGGCTCTCAATTTTATTAATGTTAAATCTAAAATAGAAATCGGAGAGCAGGGCAAGACCTAAGTGATATGATGTCTATTTTTATTGTTTAAAATAACTGCATAACTGTCAAAGCTCTGATTTGCTAAATACAATATAAAAGTATGAAATGTCAAACCATGCTATCACTATACCCAATATGCAAACCATTTGGTTTTTGACTTTAATTATAAATATGCAGTCTAAGTTAAGAGTCAAGTAAACTTTCTATGAAAACAATAAATTTTACATTAGATAAAAACTCAGAAGTAAAATTTAGGGACACTTGAAGGTTTATTTTAAGACATTTATGATGCTACATAGTTAACCTCCCCACTGTTTTAAATACAACTCTTTAAATCTACTTTTAAATACTGCAACAGTGTTTTTCATGAAACAGACTTCCTTTATGTCTTGGCAATTTAGGGCAATCCACAAATAACTGCATTTGAAAGCCCAAAAAACCTATAAAATCATATTCACTAATCAAAAGCAGATATAAGTAAGTTCTAGATGCCTTTTTAAAGGGATCTAGAACAAGCAAATTTATATATATCACAGAGCCCTTTTCAAGTTTTATTTTCATAAATGATTAACAGTATTTTAAAGCAGCCTAACACTTTTTTGGTTTTTTAAATCCTCGACTTTAAAATGTACATTACACAGCTGGCAAAATGAACCTCTACAGCTCAGGGTAGCTCCACTTTCAGAACAAAACCCACATAAATGGGGAGGAACTCAAAATGCAAGCAGTACCAGAGAGCATATGGAGACTTCTAGACTGAATATTGTCTTCCAGGGGGTCAATGTCGAAGATGGAGCCAGGATCTGTGCGCCAAACTTTGAGGTCTTTTACCAAAAGGAAGAAATCAACAAGTAGAGAATGAATTAAAAAGTCAGCACCAAAGGAAGCCAAGAGAAAATCTTGAAAGGGGTGTATGTAAAGAGCAAGCATGTAATAAGCAAACACTGCAAAGCAGCCGTCAAAGGAGAACAAAGAAAACTTCCGTTCACCAGGATCTGTTAAGAAAACTTTATGATCAACTTTAAGCTGCCCTGTTTATCTTCCTTGACCTTCCCCCGGCACATGTGCACACCAGACAGCTCTGTGAGCCCCCCGAGTTCCTGAACCCCAATCCCTCGCGCTCCCCACACACTGGAACAGGTACAATGTTTGATGAAAACTCCTGATCAAGGACATATGACTAATTCATGGAAGTGACTGAGAGGCTTTTGTCTGAAAAACAAAACAAAATTCTCTCCCTATAACAGAGATAAATGTTTAAAATGTAGGCAAGTGGCAGCCCATTTTTCACTGTGAGCCAATGAGTGCGAGCTCACCCACATAAGATACATTTATTGGAAAAGTAAAATAAAACAAGGCAACAAGCAAGGACCAATGAGGGATGGGAACATGAACAACAAAGAGCTTCCTGCTCTCAGTGGACCACCAGTTAGTGCACTGCTGTGGTCAGTCATCAGACTGTGCAAGCCAATTTATTCTCCTATTTTAGCTGGGGCCAATAATCTAAATCTAATAACTTCCATGTATTTCAGTCTCTCTACCTAATGGTTATCAGGTCCTAAAAAGATCTGTATAGTGCTGTACTAACAACAGGAAAATAAAACCCTAGTTAAAGATGTGTGGCAGAAATGAGCCTTAGTAAAAATGATTAATTAGTAACCTGGAACTGGAGATGTTTGTCTGTCTTTAATTAATATTATATAGTGCTTACCAGGCACTCTTTTCAGTTATAATATAACTCAATTAAGCTTTAAAACATAGTAAAGTAGATATTATTACTATTCCCATTTTATAGATGAGGAAACTGAGGCAAAGGGAGATTGAGTTAGCTTAGCCAACATTATGCAGCTATGAAGTAGCAGAGCCTCCAAAAAAATAGAAGCTGCACAGACTCGCTTGTCTGAATTACTGAGAAAATCTCTAAACCTGTATTTCCATGCCTGGCTCAGGAGTTTAATGTTTGTGGAATGTAATACATTTTGTGGTTTCATAGGCAAGTGGTCCATGGAAAACAGGTTCCCCCAATTAGGAAAAATAAACTGACTTCTGGATCGCCCAGAAAGTTAATAATTTAGAGTTATATATCTTATGTTTTTAAAAATTAATAATTTCTATCTCAAAGGTAATGAGTACTGAATTCCGAGAACTCAAAGTCTAGACAATCTCGTGGTTTCTAGCAAGGATCTCACATTTACTCCTGGCTCCTGATCTAGGATGGACCCCTGGTGTGAGCCTGCAGACATCACCATCCCCACCCTCCTGGAAATCAGATGCTCTGCAGTATCTCTTATGAGATGTTAATACAAAGAAAGGAAACTCTAATTCTGTGATACTTCTAATGAAAACAACAGAACTTATCCAATTTAACGTGATCATTTTAAGAATTCAACTTGGGAAGATTAGCAAAGCTATCAACTACCTACAAATATGTTTGGAATCCTTCTTTGGAAAATACTTTCAGAGTCAATAACCGTCCAAGTAACTCGTTGGCCTTACTTCAGTACCTGTGTTTTACACTAAAGACACGAGCCTGTCAAATATACACTGTCCTCACCCACGCCATCTCTAAATGGCCTTGCAGTTGTTCCACAAAAGCTTTTATGTTTGAAGATGAAGCTAACCTAACACTGAGATTACTGAGAGGCACTGTTGCACAGTTACCAAAAAATATTATTTGAGCAATATAATTGGACTATTTATAAAAATTCAGAGGCTAACTGCTCTGAAGAGGACGATAGTCATTTGGAAGCATGGGTTGTTGATATGTACTGAAAAAGTAATAACTTTCCTGGCTAGTGCATCTAGTGCTGTCTCGGCCACCTTTAAACACTGTGTTCCTAAGTCCTAAGACTTCCCCTGACTGACTAGAAGGAACAGCACGAAAAGCAGGTTCTTTCCTCTCTGATTTATGGGACTTCCAGACAGCTCTCGACTATCTCAGCTCAGAGATAATATTCAAAAAATATAAGTTATTCATATAATGGAATACCATCAGAATCTCTCTGGGATGTCTATTTGGGACAGAGGAATCTGCAGTACAGTATATTGATCAAATACATAAGGTAAAGTAGAAACAAAATAATTTTTCAAACCTTGTTATCACCCCTGTTTGATATAAGGCTGCTCCTTTGTTTAACAAGTAGAAACATTCTTAAAACCAGAAAGTTAGTAAAGACAGAGAGTCCCCGACTAGAGAAAGGAAGGATTGAAACGATACCTGGCTAATGCCATGAATCCCTTTCAACACGGTGCGACAAGAACACTTTGGTCCATTTTCAGTCGGGCATCAGACCAAACACTGGAGGAGCCCGAAGAATAAGGGGGCTACTTCTAAACTCGGGCAAGCACGGTCTTTTTGACCACGCAGCCCTGCCGAGGAGGACCGTCAGCTTACCAACAATGATCCCAGGTCTCCTGTCCATCTCCACGATGTGAGGATGGACCCCTTTGTAAGCGGCATCGCTGACCACCTGGGTGTTCTTCCTCACGCGCTCTGTCACAGGGTCATCCACGACGGGGGTAAAGCCCCTTCCCTTTGTCTTCTCAAAATCTTCATGATATTTTACCTGGGGGAAAAAAGAAAAATCCATATTAACTCAAACTGAAATTTCCTGATTATTACATAGCTCACAAATTTTTGATATAGCAACAGCTGTCACTGCACCAGCTACATCTAGATTATTTTCTGCATAGCTGTATCTTTTCCATTCCAAAAATAACGCCTGGAATTTCAGCTTCCTAGCATTAGAAATCAAATGCTGATATATTCACAGTTTTGCATCATTATGGTTAGCGCTCTTTTAAATTATATATAAACCTGTATACCAGTAAGAATTTTTAAAAGATATACATATTTAATCCTGGTTCCTCTCTAAAATATATTAACTTAGGCACAAATTAATTTCCTATTTCTTAACCTTTAATATGCAATAAAATTATAAGCTATTTCCACACACTTATTCAAGAAAACAGTATTTAAAATTAGATTAAGAGAGTTACAGATAATCATATATACATTTTTTGTATATAATTACAAAAATTTATATACACTTCAAAGCACACTTTTCAGATTCCGAAACTGAATTAGGGTGATGGTTGTTCAACTCTGTAAATTATACAAACCACTGAATTATACACTTTAAATGGGTGAACTTTATGGCATAAAAATCATATATTGTGCAACTGTCTTTAAATACATATATATTTTTAATCTTCTTTGCAACATGCAAACACACCAAACTCTGTCTTAAAATTAATTGGAAATAAGTGCAGCCAAATGTCTTTCATAAAATGCATTTGTAGTAGTCATGTTAGAAATAAAAACACACCCAAAAATCACAGAGAAAAATTATTTTATTAGAGAATGTTTCCATTACATTTCAGTGTAATTAAAGTCTCCCCAACAGGAGAGACCCATCTGCATTTCCATGCTTTGTTAGTGATCCGATTAATGGTGGACTAATGCCGTCAGTGCACGGGGTGACTCCATTCCTTAGTATATTTTAGTTGTGAGAAGGACCTGGTTGTACCCTACCATTGAAATATGATTCTGTGCTTCTCTGACATGTCTCAGACCAGGTGTATCTAAAATAAGACTTGGTCTGCCTTTCATCTGTTTATGGTCCTGGGTATATTTTACCTGCAAAGTAAATAATAGAACATACTTAATAAGACAATCATAATTTAAAACATTATATAACTTTTTCAAGTTTTCCAAAGGAGTGAAATATATACCACATATTCTAAATAATTCCCCCAGGTAACTTGTTCGGTGAATTACATTTACTTCTAGAATAACAATCTAAAATTTTATTCTCAAAGGTCTCCTTTAAAAACTATAGCAAAAATGACTTCATCATCACTCTAGCAACTGAAAACAAATGTATGAATGAACAATATCCACCAACAATGCAGTCAGTGAAGTGGTTATCAAACTTAAATTGAATAGGAAAAACCCAAAGCCAAATGGAATCTAAATTAACTTTTCTGTTTCTATATATCCCCATTTTCACCAAAACACTATTGAAGAATTCATACCAGGCTTGCCTTCATTTTCTTTTCTTTTTCTTCTCCATAGAGGAGAAGAAACAATAAGAAAATAATCTAGTTTCCTTCTAAGCAGCCACAACTTAAAGGTAATTTATGTTGAATTTAGTCAGCATCTCTGGACAGAGATGCCATTGGAGAGGTATAAATTCTAAAACCTAAATGCTGATCCCCAGGCCCAGAGCCCTTCTCCACAGCTGAGCACCAGAGCACTGCCACGTGCGATGCTGGTTACGTAGCAGATTATTATTGCAGACCTGAGGGCATGTGAACAATTCAGTGCTGAGGCCCTGATACCCAGTAAGACAAAGCACACCATACAAATGTGCACCATGGGGCCTTGCTGAACAACTGATTTCTATATTAAATGTATATAAAACTTTTTTCCTCTAAGTCCTTACTTCGTAGTAATAGCTCATTTCTTATTTTGTTTTGCAGAGAGCATTTAACAATTCACATTCAATGGAATATATCTGTAAAATGATAATTATTTAACTTACACAGCAAAGACTTTACCACTTTCAAAGACACTGGCTAAAATATATGAATCATTGTTAAATGAACATAATATAGTTTAAACTTTAAGTGTCACTGTTGGTCACATCTGGCAATATCAATAAAGGGTTGCAAGAAAAAGTAAATTTATGCAGTGGCAGCTTTTGGAAGTCATCTAAAACAACACATGTATTCATTGTATATATCCCAAGTGTTTCTTGAAAATACACTTTGTTTTCACAGGAAAAAACAGTACTGCACGTAAATAATGAACGACACATCCTTTGCCATAGTCCGAAGTGAATGAAAGCACTTGCCGAGCTAATGTTTTCCTGATTCTTCTTCACTCTTTCCATTTCGGGAGTTACACTTAAAGCCGTAGCTCTTCCCAGCTCACCTTTATAATAAACCTACCATTTCAGAGAACAAAAAATAGTGTACTGTGAATCAATTCAACTGAATAAGAGTCACATAGTATTTATTTTAAAGAACTAGACAAAAAAAGAAAACTATGAAAAAAGAGGTAGCTAATCAGAGGTCTAGCCATATTTAAAATGCTTGCATCTTAAATCAGTCTATTTTAATTCATCCCAGAGCAGTGAATCACTGTGAATGTACTCAGATACATGGGCATACCATCAGCAAACCTGTAATAATCACTTCATCACAAAGGAATATGCTAAGAAATGTCGTCACAAATATTCCTTAAAGGTACTCCTACCCAAGTAGAATGGGGCTATACTGTTGTGTTCCCTTAGTAACTGTGTCAGAGCTTTTGAAAGGTTATCTTTACACAGGTGACATGGTCATGCATAAAAAGGCTGGCCTGCTTCCCACTACTCTCTTCCCCCTTCTCAGCAACCCTGTTCCTTCTTGAGAGTAAAGGAGTTACATCAAGTGTGACTCTAAATATATCAGGAAAGGATGAGCATCTACTGCTCCAAAATACAGTTGTCAGGAAAAGTGCCAAACAATAAGCTGCCTTTGCATTATAACCTGGTCCAATAACTTGAAAGGTTTAAAGAATATAAGGTTTCTTTGAATCTAATAGATTTCCAAATTTCCCCCTCCAAAGAACCCCATCTCCATGCTAACACATGAAGTCCACAGATTTTAAAGGAGAATTCCCTCCGTGAACTGTGTCCATGGACTACATAAACAGAAAGGAGATTGAGCTGGCCGGCAATTACTGTCTTAGTAAAAACTGACAGCCCTACAAGTGCCCCTCAAACAGGCCTGCATCAGGTGACCTATCTAGCTATGCACACTTTATAATTTCTTCCCAGATATCGTCCAAAAATAAAGTAATAATATCTGGTAGTGAGCTGGACAAGCTAGAGAAAAACATATGCAGGCAGGAAAGGGAGTGGGAAAGCTCGTGTGTAGTGCAGGGCCATGTGACAGGAGCTAGGCTGAGTCCCTTTGAGGAGCCACAGCAACCACAGACGGGAAGACTAGATGAGACCGAGACATAACCTGCAGACAGAAGTCAGACTGCATGTCCCTGGGAGTTCTGAGGGGAGAATGCCTGGCAATGCCCACAAGACCTAAGACCCTGAAACATTTCCAATAAATCGATAATCAGTTGAGAGCCGAACTCAGTATCAACTCCAGGTCGTGATCTCTTGTAAACATCATCCCTTCAGTGACACGTTGACAATACATTTGAAGTGACACGTTGACGATACATTTGATATCATTAGAAAGAAGTTGCTAAGATCACACATTGCTGATGTTCCTCTGGTTTTCTTTAACTCTCCTCAGCTCTGGTGGATCAGAAATTGGGGTTGCCTGTTTAATTTCTCCTTTGTATTTTACCTGTGAAAGATAAATAAAAATTTTAATAGATAGCATGGTGGTGTCCACCCAAACACCACAGAGGACGAGCCTCAAATTAACCCTATCTTCTCACACATTTTTTCTACAGTAGATATGCATCTACCTTCCCATTCACATCTACTGCTGGGTTCTGATTCGTCCAACTTAGCAAGCACAAGTGTTGGTTGTGCTTTTTAAAAATGAGTTTCTAATAAATACTCTGCTGTTCAATATCAAAACTAACTGCCAAAATTCCAGGACTAAAAGTAATGGAAACATAAGGGAGAATCATCAGAACAAAGTCATTACGAGAGAACTATAGTGAGGCCACCATGGCAGCCTGGGAAGGCCATTGACTCTCTTTCTGACCCAAGGCTTCAATCTTTAAAAAAAAAAAACTAAAGAGGAGGGGATGGGGGAGACCAGCACAAAGGGTCAAGAGGATTCAGAAATATAACCTGTTATAAAAACAGTCACAGGGATATAAAGTACAGCATAGGGAATATAGTCAATGATATTGTAATAACTACGTATGGTGTCAGACGGGTGCTAGGCTTTTTGTAGTGATCACTTCGTAAGGTATATAAATATCAAACCACTATATTGTACGCCAGGAACCAATATAATATTGTCTGTCAACTATAATTTTAAAATAAATAAATTGTCTCTAAAAAGTTCTCAGAAACTGGGAAATCTATCTCATTCTCCAAGACTCAGCCAAAGCCTACTCTTATCGGTACAGGATAGGTCACTCTAATAGCAGAAATCCCAGTTGAACTTCTACATGTGCTGTTTCCTTACTTGATATTCTGTTTCCACATTATTATGTTTTTGTTGGTAGTGAATTTTTTTTTAATATATTTTTATTGATTTCAGAGAGAGGAAGGAAGAGGGAGAGCAAAAGATAGAAACATCAATGATGAGAGTCATTGATCAGCTGTCTCTTGCACGGTCCCTGCTGGGGATCGAGCCCACAACCCAGGCATGTGCCCTGCCCGGGAAGTGAACTGGGATCTCCTAGATCCTGTCGATGCTCAACCGCTGAGCCACGCAGGCTGGGCAGTCATGAATTTAGGGGATTGATTTTATTTGGGCTTCTCACAGTGGTTAGAGCCACACTCTCTTCAGAACAATCACAGCACAAGAAATGCGGCACCGAGACTGCCCAGAAAAGTCTGACCGGCTGGATCTTATTACTTAAAATATACACATTCACAATAACTGATGAGGTGCCTCACACAGGAAGTTGTTACAATTGCAAATTTTCCAACTGAAGCACCAAACCCTCCACCAACCCCTTCCTTCTCAATTCACCTGGAAAACCAGACTCAATCAAACTTCCCTGGCCCCTAACTAGTCCCGCAACTCCCCACTTCCCTCTCTCTCCGCACGCAGGGTAGCCTCCTGCAGCAGGGGTGAGGGTGACTACTGACTGAAGCCCAGCTCCCGGTTCCATTGTCCTCTCTTCTCCTGCCTTTAGAGCAGGACGCTGTCATGAACCTTAACACTCAGACCAGTTCCCCCTCTAGTTGGGGAAAGAACCTTGAAAGAGCCAGAATTCATCCACTTGATCAGTTAACTGAAGGATTCGTTTTGGTAAAACTTGATCTCCTTGGAAACATTTCAGTGAGTTGTTTGAGATTTATTTTAATGGTGAAAAGAAAGGCATCTGAAGGCTGCTGACGCACTCCTGCCCACTCTCACCACACACCGGCTTGCTGGCATGCGCTGGGCTCGGCAGAGGGCAGTAAGCCCTGTGGTGTGTGCCAAACCTTCCTGGCAGTTCTGGGCAGGGCTGACGTCTGGGCCACAGCTAGTCCAAGCTTGTGGCTGAAGATCCAATTAAGCTTCTGTCTGAAGTTCCACCTTCACCTGCTGTCCCCAGTGGCTGTGGACACCCCCTGGGGGCTGATATGGAGGGCCTGGAGCAACCGAGGGAGGCAGACAGGTTCACAGCACGTTTCCATTTACAAGGAACAGAACACAGGCCTCCATGTGTCCATGGGGCAACGTGCAAATTGCAGTGATGGGTAGAGTAAAACCTCTACTTCGATGACAGTCTTTCTGGCAAACACTGGGGATCGCTGTTGACAATGATGCTGAACACCCCAAGAAAAAAGTCATTTGTTCAGTAAACAGTAAATGCAGAAAGTAAATTACCTTGAGAGGCCATATTTGCTCCAATCGTGTGGTTAGTGGGAGCAGAATGGCTGCCATTCAAAGTATATTCATAGGAAAACAGGGCTGAGGGCTCTCAAGCAGCAGACAGACACACAGATTATCCAAAATGCCACTGTATACATATTTCACTTTGTTTAACATGTATTTTGGTTTTGTTGCCTCCAAATACAGATACTCATTTGCCTCACAGCCTTGGATTGGTTTACTTTTGCATACATATCTTTTTTCCCTTTCTAATATAACTCCAAACATCATTGTTCAAGAGCAGGGTTAAGAACCAAACTCTTCATATGAACAGGGCTGGGCAGGGAATGTTACTTTTGGCTGTTTGCTTTCCCCATTCAAATTATTCCTATCAAAGCTCAGCTGGTTATCTGAAGCCAAACTACAGTAATAGGACCCTGTGGTTCTTCTGGATGGCTGCCCTTAGCCCCCTCCCTGGGCCATTCAGACTCTTTACAGAGACTACAGTGATTAGTTATCCCACTCACAAGGGGGAGGAGGGGGTATGAAAACCACAGATAACCAAGGCATTTTTCCCAAGTGGTCAGTTAAAAACACACACAACATATTCAGAATCAAGAAAAAATACTGTATATGAGCCAGACTATGGGGCTGCCCTTCCTTCCTCAGGACCCACAGCCTCCTCATTCGTTCATACAGAAGAGCGAGACATGAAGGCCTGCAGACTGCGTGCTTGCGGTGGAGGAGAGCCCTAGTCACTTGTGGGTACAGACCGAAGGACAGAGATGCAGAAAGCTGCGCTCTATCCAGCACCATGGCTTAGGCCTCCTGGGCACCCACAGAAGTTCCAGAGATAGCCGCCACCCAAGCCGGTACACAAAGCATCTCCTTCTGGTCAACTGCAGCCAGGTTCTTTGAAGGCCAACTTGGGCAAGAGCCACAAACTTCCCTTTCCAAACAGAATTCTTCCCTGCCTAATGGTGAAGTTCTTGTTTTCAGCTCACTTTTTCTTTTTTTTTTAAAGAAAAACCAAAGAGAAGGCAATATAATCTTGCACACCTGAACTAGTCTGTGGCCAGCCAGAACCTGCTGGGCAGGGCCTGTCAGGGATGCCCAGGGATGCATCGATCTCATCACCTGGAATTTAGAAATGCAACAAGCCCTTACCCACCTACCACACAACTGCTCGTCCGCCCTCATCCTCCCACAGGATTAGTCTGAGTCAGGCTCTGCAGAAACTGGCAGCGAGGGGTGACAACCCCCGGGTCTCTGCAGGCTTCCTTCTTCATCCAGGGCTGAGACCTGCCGTCTCTCCCAGGCTGAGACACAGCTACATACTCTTACCCTAACACCAGAGCAAAAATCCACTCCATCACCAAGCGCCACCTCACGGCATAGTCTCATCCCCTCTTCTTGGGGGCTCCTGCAACACGCATCTCTGACCTGAGCCGGTAGTGAGGTATGACTTGAAAAGGGGGGAAGGGGGACGGTGGTGGGGTATGAGGAGTGGGTTACAGAGGCAACTTCTCAACCCTCCACAACACTGTGTTTCTGTGGGGGAAGAGGCATCCACACCCCAATGTACTGGAAATGTAGGAAAATGCAGGAATGGGGGGGCAAAAAAGAAATAAAGGGGGGGAAAAAGAACCAAGTGGTTGTACCACTTTCAAGTCACTTAATGCTTCTCTGGCACTTCTCCCCTACCCCCTACCTGGTTGCTTTGCCAAGTTCTTGGTACAGGCAGGGCCTGCTCCAGCTGGGGGAGCTGCTGCTCTGGCAGTGTGAGGACTCCTGCTCATTGATGTGTTCAGCAGTAGGCACGGGGGTGGCTGCAGCAGGTGGGGGTGCCCAGGATCTCAAGCCTGCTCCTCGGAGGGCTGGCAGAGCCCTTCTTCCTTGTCTCCAAAGGCCACACATGGAAGCGATCATAGAAGTCCAGGGTTCCATCCAGAGCGTCATCCATGAGTGTTCAACTCTTTGAGGCCCCTGTTGCACACACACCACAGCTCCCGAGTCACCCCTGAAGCGGCGATGTCTGCCAGGTATCTTATCCTTGCTGTTGGGAAGTGCGCTGCCCTGCTTGGGGCTATCATCTTGCAGCAGCTCCGCCTTTCATTTGGAATCCTTGCCCAGTAAGGCCCCAGAGGCCAGCTCCCCAGGCCAGCCACAGAGCCGCTAGGCTCCATCTAGGGGCTTTAGTGGCTGTGGATTAGCTGGCATGCCTGTGTTGGAGGGCTCAGGGTCAGCGATGAGGCTGGGGAGGGCGGGAGGCACTTGCTGCTTCTGCTGGGCCCAAACAAAGGGCTGCTCTGCATCCCCTGGGACCCCCTGGTGGGATCAGCACCTGGGGGACAGCTGCCTGCAGAGCCACACTGTCCAGCAGCTGTTGCTGCTGTAGCTAGAAGGCATTAAATAAAAAGGCAGTGCTGGGTAATTGCGGGCTTCCCAGTAGGCGATCAGGTTGATTTCATGTCCCCATTCCTGGGCTGAAGGGGGTACTTGGGTGCTTGGCTTGGCAACGGTGACAGACACAGTGCAGCTCAGGGTGCTAACGATGGTCCCCACCAGCCAGCGCACCAGAGTTCATGCCAGTAGTTGCAGCACTGAGACTGTCCACAGCAGTGTCCTGTGTCACAGATGTAGCTTTGTGAAAGCCCATACGGCTTTCCTTATGCTGTGGGGGTTCAGTCCTGGCTGACAAGGGGCTGGGCAGCACCTGGAGGAGCAGGGGTGCCCTGCCACCCAGGAACCTTCTCCTCTCCACCCACCCCCCCACCACTACCTTCTTCCTCCTCCCTCTCTCCTCTTCTTATTATTATTTTTATTATTCTGGAATCTCTGTGAGTTTGAAGTCAAGATGGTTTTGTTTTCTAATAGTCAATGACTAGCAGAATATTTAGCATGTATCAGGGGCTAAATAAATATCTACTGAATAAATGAATAAATTAGGACAAAGAAATGGAAAGATTTTTAAAAAGAGCTGAAGATCCCTCACTCCCACCATCTTCCAAGGATATTATAAGGACAACGCAGTGTTCGCACAATTTCCTCTTCTACCTAGGAGAGCCCACGCAAATTTTAAAGTCTTTCAAAATTACCTATTCAGAAGAAGAAGGCTATTGTTTATATTGATTAAAATTCCATTAAGAGGGTCAAAAAACAGGAGAAATAACTATTGAGAGTAGCACCTTTGAACGGATTTCTAAATTTCAGGAAATTTGGGTTCAAATCTCAGCTTTGCCCTTATAAACTGTGGGTCCCTGGCATGTTCTCTGACCTCCCAAAGACTCAGCTTCCCACACCTACAAACCAGAGAAATAAATTGAACCAACCTCATGGGTTCACATAAAGCATGTAGCATAGGGTCCATATTACCTCATGATTATTAATTATCATTGCTTTATTAGCAATAGAATATTGAGTGATCGAATAATGTTTTCCATTTTATTTATAATGCCCTGACATTATGTCTTAGAACCCCAATCAAGCCAGGTCTTCTTTTGAACTATTCCAATTGATCAGTTTTTTCTCTGTTAGCAGACCCACAACTCTCCAGGTCCTTGCCTGGTTGTAGTTTTAGAGGTTTACCAACTAAACTACGAGGTCCATGAGGACAAGAACTGGGTCTCATCCATCCCTGTGTACCAGTGACCAGGATAATGTCTGACCCATCAGCGTGCTTAGTGAAGAATTTTTAAATGAACAAACATGGTTAAATTATAGCAAGATGGTCCCAAATTTCCTGTACTCAC